CTCAGTGAGCCCCAGCTCGCAGGCTTCCATCCATCCAATGCGGGATGGGCGGAACAGCAGAGGCCACCCTCCTGCCGTACATTTTTTGGAGTTAAGTTCTATTTGTTTCAGCGGGGCTCGCTCCCAATTACTCTTAGGATCAGTCTGAAATGATTCTATACCATTTGTTAGCCTATTTGAGAGCTGTTTAGTCTGCACACAGAAAAATTGTATTACAGAGATTCTGTTAGAATCTGCATGCTGTTAACATGTTGTATTAGCATAAGAGGTGATATCCAATGTGACAAGTACGCTATTATCAAAGTGCTGTTTATTGAAAGATTCCGTCTCACATAGGAAATTATCAGTTTCTTTGCTATGTAATGAAATGTTTCTGATGAGATATTCTAAACATAGGTCAAGATACGAAAGCGGCCTTTCATCAGATATGCTTTTGTATGAACAAATGAATGTCAGAAGTGTACATGCAGGGATGGATGAACTGGGGAGGTACCTGTACACAGGAGAGCCTCTGGCACATTGTGTGTTCATGAGAGTGAATGAGGCCAATGGTGGTGGTGGCCATTTTGGGCTTTGGCGCCATCCACCAGCATGCAGCCCCAGGCAAGGCAGCACGGCCTTCTGCACTAGGAGCCCGGGATGCCTTTCTGAACGGCAGAGACTTCTTGTTGTCTTGATGGAAATAAGCCTGCCAGCACAGCAGGTACAATTGCCACTCACTGGAATCTCTGTCTCCAGGCTGTTGAGCACAGGTGAGGGCCCCTGGAGGGATAGACTGCTCGTGGCAAACTGCTCCGGCAGTCTGTCCATTTCTCGCTGCTCAAATAACCAACTTACTTGCTAAAGGCCTGATGGTATCTATAGGAGCACGTGGCTGCAAATGAGGCAGGAGGGCCCCCGTGCTTAGTTCCATGTGCACATGGAGGACCTGGATATGTCTGTCTTGAAGTGCAGCTGGACATGCATCCCGTGTCATGTTGCTTTCGGAACTACATGAAACAGCAAGGCTGCCTGAGACCGAAGATGATCTAGCAGAGTCACGGTGGAATAAATGCCGATGAGGAGCTGCCTCGAGCCTCCGAACTCACCTTTAGCACTGCGCTTCCAAAAAGTTTTCGATCACTCCTCATCCTTCTATCAGTTCAGTACTTTTACTGCTTTTACCATTGGAATTAACTTTACCCAGAAATTTCCCTTTCTAAAGAAATGGTTTTGTCTAAATATTTATGGAAGAAACCTGGAAAGCTTCTCAGACTTTTCTTTCTTGATTGCCCCCATTCAGCCTGCGTAAGCAGGGTGAAGAACAATCCTGTAAGCTCCCCACTAACAAAAGTTACTTGTTTCAAGTATTTTATCCTGCACTGAAGCCAAGAAAGTTCCCAGATCAGCAGGAGAGTCACTGACTCAAAATCTAAAAAGGCACAACTGCACTCCATTCTATTTGCGCTTCCTTTCTTTCTTTCAAATACTTGTATAACCTTTTCCCAAAGATAATACTTCCCAAAGCTAGTCATAGAACAATTAAAAATAATACAAATTAAAGCATTAAGGCAGAACCCCGATCGGTGATTACAAGAAGTAAAAGAGAAGACAAAGCAAGGCCGCAGCATCTGGTTGGGAGTTTCAGTTTATGCTCGTCCAATCCAGCATGGATTTCCAATTCACTCAGGGGGAGGGGGGCCATTGCAACATCTGGACTCTGGTATCCAAGGCCACTGATAAAGCAAACATGAGCGGGGTCAAATTCCCCTGCTTTTCTCCTAGAAAGGGAGTAGCAGCATAAGGCCCGGTGAGAGCAAGCCGCCCTGAGGTTTCGGCAAGGGGCGGCATAGAAATGTTATAATAATAATAATCCATAAACTTCATCAGGGGGCTCAGATAGTATAGAAATGGGCTGGAAACGTCTCACAACCTGCAGGACAGTGTTGCACTCCCCTAGCCAGGTCAGTTCTACCCTTGCTGAGAAGCCACAGAGGAGAAATGGAGCAGAAATTCACAAAGCAGCCGCATCATTTTCAAACCAGAGGGAAAAGAAATTAGCCTGGACCGGTGCTACCCAAATATCAAGAGCTGGTTGGTGCACATTACTGGACTGAGTTAGTGTAAGAATCTTTCTTTACTATTCAACAGCAATACAGCCATCCAAAGAATAACTTGGATTCAGCTTGTCTGTGAAATGGCAGCACTTCAGTTCACAATGGCAGACATCAGGTTCATGCTGATAACCACAAGTAAAGAGGGTTTCTTCATCCCTGGGGTACTTGAGAAGCAGAGAGTCTCTAGAGAGAATTTGAACAAGGAGGAGAAAGCAAATGCAGTAACTGCTATGGACAAGACATATTATAATGTTATCTCTGGCAGTTATTTCGCTACTGACAGCCTTAGAAAAGCTTTTAGTGCGCTTTGTTAAGCCGTATCAGAAATGCATCCCTCAATTGCAGTACATGAAATGCTGTACTTTAAAAAAATGTAAACACAACCTTTGGGAAATTGTAGGTAATAGATCCTTTTAAGATACTCTCCTATACTCTCCCTTTTTGGTCCACACAGCCACTGCATTCATTATATTCATTTATCCTACATACTTTTAAAAGTCTGCTCTTGCTGCAAGTACCATGGGACCATCAATGCTATAAGACTGCAGTGGCTACCGCTTATATGGCTGTGTATTAACTCCAGGATCAAAGGCAGCTGGGAAATAACTCACGTTCTTAAGCCTGCATCTTAGTTAGGGTCAGGTTTTCAGCAATTACACAGGATTCCTTGCCTCACAAAAAAGAGAATTCTACCAGAGGCAGCCTTTTCACCCTTGTATGGCAAGCTGCACCTGCAACAATTCCCACTTCTAAATACAATTCAAAGTTGTCTTCTATTTAGATATTATTCATAGTATCAGACACTATTTCATTTCAGAGCATTCCCAAGCCTATGTGAGAGAGCTGGTATGGCGTGGTGGTTAGATGGAGGATCCAAGAGATCTTGATTCTAGTCCCCACTCGGTCATGAAGCTCACTGGGTGACTTTGGGCCAGTCACAAACTCTTGGCCCAACCTTCCTCACAGGGTTGTTGTGAGGATAAAAATGGAGCTATGTAAGCTGGCTTGGGTTCCTCACAAAGGGAAAAAAGGAAGGCTTTATCTGCAACGTAATAACATACTGCAAAAATATATCAAATATACCCTCCAAGTCATTAGCTCTACCTGGAAAACAGGTTCATGAATAAGTAATCTGCTGCATATGTTCCTGTCATTTTTTCTTTGCGATCAAGAAGTTGCCAGTTGGGGAAAGTACATCTGCGCTATTCTTCAGAGACCTGCCTTTTTGTTGCTGGAAGAACCCTTGTGGAGAGACAGTTTAGTTTACAAACCAACACAATCCTTCAAATAAAGGGGGCCCAGTTTTATGGAATAACCAGTCCTATGCACAGAGCAGGGTGAGACTAATATTACTGAGCTTTTGAAGAACTTTAAGGGGTCTGAAGGCAAGGGAGTCCAGGGACCTTTCAGGTAGAAGGATTTATTAATACTGCAGCTGAATATGTTATTTGGAAGTGGTAAGGAAGTGTCAGAATTTCAGTACTATAGTGCTATGCCAGCAGCTGTGTTTCTCTGAAAAACAGCTAAGCCATCTGAAAAACAGACATGCCATATCTATGAAGCACTGGAGGCATGCTTTAATTTGCCTCCTTTCCAGCTATCACATAAAGTATTTCTACACAAATATCAGTTATACTACATGAACTTTCAGCACTGGCTCAAATTTTGAAAACCACCTGAATATACACTATGGTCTGCATAATTTGAGATTATGGTATCTAACTACTAATTTGGAACATAGCTAAGAGTACAAATGAACGTGAGGAATGCAAAAGTAAAACTGGAAAGTGACTTATTAAAATCTTTGCATTGCTTCCCACTGCAAAAATCTATCTTGAAGACACAGATACAGAAATCTATAATTAATATAAAACAAACACAAAACATAAACCGTAACAATACAAACAAAAATAAGGACAAAAATAATATAAAAATACAAAAAGTGGTTGTCCATAATACAAAATCCATAAATGCCCATCTTACACCTAGAAAAAAATACCACAACATTTGGGCCACAAATGCAACAAACATGCCCTATCAGATGTCCGAAACATCTGGGAAAGTAAGTATCTGTCTGGTACTGAAAAGTATGATAGTGTCAGTGCTTCCTTGGAGCGAGCACTGATAAACAGGCCTATTCATCATCTATGCCACCTCCACCACCGCACAGTGCCTCTCTCAGAGAAGCAGGCAAAGAAGGGCCCCAAAAGTCAGCCATCAGAGCCTTCGTGGGGTCAAAGGGAGAAAGGAAGTCCTTAAGCATCTCAAGTCAATTTAGGGCTTCATACGTTAGAAAGAGCACTTTGAGCAAGATTACAGCAGAACAGGCGCTCGCCCAACAAGGCTGCCAACTTTCCAATAAGCCCATGATTGTAACAGATGGAGAAATTGGCTGTCCAAAGTGCAACCTGCTAATCGCTGACCATGAAATTGTTCTTAAACGCACTAGAGCAACTCAGGTTGTTTCCTGCTCCGTTGCAAAACCAAAGAATGCACAATGCAGTATGACTGAAAATGATATTCAACATACAAGGAAGAATAACGCCCTGGGCAATACAATTTTAGACCAAAATCTGATGGAAAACATTCACTACTGCAATTGCGGAAGAAACAGCCCTATTAACCCACGCGTTCGCATAACACAGCTACGCGCGGCACCAAGATGCTCCAAAACTCTGTGGTGAGCATGCGCACTAAGGAGCCGGCGATCAGTGCGCATGTCCTCTTCAGGGCTGGGGCGCTCCCGAGCGCATGCGTCAAGCTCGACTGGAACGGTTTGTGAGGACAACGCATGCGCTCGGACTTTGCTCTTGACCGCTCCATTCAGCGCATGCGCACGAGACATCTTCGCCTGTAGTCCTCGTTAGGTTTCCCTGAGGAGTTTGCGTTTGGCCTTCCACTTACCCAGGATGCGAATGAGGCTCCGGTCCCTGCCGGGCAAAGCCTCTTGTTTACTGAACATCTTGAGGGAAGAAGAAGAAAAAGAAGAAGCAGCTTCTCCCATGGCGACAAGAGTAAGAAGGAGGCGCCGGCCACAAGCGGCAGAGTTCATCGCCCCTCCTCCGCGAGCTTTCGCTACGCTGAGGCGGGCCGTCAGAAAGTGCGCATGCGCGAGGGTGTCCTCGGTCTCGAGACCCGCAGCACGTGGCAGGGCGCGAGGAACCCAGCGAGGGAGGGGGAGGCGCTGTGGCGCATGCTCGGCCGGCTGCCCGCTGTGCGTGCCCGCGGGTCGAGGCTGCGCTGCTTGCTGCGCTCTAGGCGGGTGGATGTCCCGGGTCCAAGCGTGCGGATCCCCGCTATTCCCTGAGAGTGAAGGCAGGCCTCCTGCAGCAGACTTCCTCAGCTTGGTGCCCCTGAGATCCTCTGGATGCCAACCCCCATCCTCCCCAGCCAGCATGGCCGAGAGTCAGGAAACCTGGGAACTGTTGGGGTCGCGGAAAGCCATTCCGCAGAGTCAGGGTCTTTAACCACCCGGCTCAGGATTTTCTGCCTTTCCTGAGACAAGCCACCTGATGCAGTCTACCATTTCTAACGTCGTTGTTAGTCACGAAGTCGTGTCCGATCCACCGCAACCCCATGGACAACACTCCTCCAGGCCTTCCTGTCCTCCACCATCCCCCGGAGTCCACCCAAGCCCACTCCCACCACCCCAGTGACCCCATCCAGCCACCTCATCCTCTGCCGTCCCCTTGATCTTTGGCCTTCCATCATTCCCAGCATCAGGCTCTTCTCCAGGGAGTCCTTCCTTCTCATCAGGTGGCCAAAGTATTTGAGCTTCATCTTCAGGATCTGGCCTTCTAAAGAGCAATCAGGGCTGATCTCCTCTAGGACTGACCGGTTTGATCGCCTTGCAGTCCAAGGGACTCACAGAGTCTCCTCCAGCACCACAATTCAAAGGCCTCAATCCTTCAGTGCTCAGCCTTCCTTATGGTCCAGCTTTCACAGCCATACATTGCAAGTGGGAAAACCAGAGCCTTGACTATACGCACTTTTGTTGGCAGGGTGATGTCTCTGCTTTTTAGTATGCTGTCTAGATTTGCCATAGCTTTCCTCCCCAGGAACAAGCGTCTTTTAATTTCTTGGCTGCAGTCCCCGTCTGCAGTGATTCTGGAGCCCAGGAAAATAAAATCTGTCACTACCTCCATTTCTTCCCCCTCTATTTGCCAGGAAGTGAGAGGACCGGGTGCCATGATCTTAGTTTTCTTAATGTTGAGTTTCAAGCCAACTTTTGTGCTCTCCTCCTTCAAGAGACTTTTTAGTTCCTCTTCACTTTTCTGCCATGAGAGTGGTATCATCTGCATTTCTGAGGTTGTTGATATTTCTCCCAGCAATCTTAATTCCAACTGGTGATTCATCTAGCTCCGCCTTCTCATGATGTGCTCTGCATACAAGTTAAATAGGCAGGGCGACAGTATACAGCCTTGCCGAACTCCTTTCTCAATTTTGAACCAATCAGTGGTTCCATGTCCAATTCTTACTGTTGCTTCTTGACCCGCATGCAGGTTTTTCAAGAGACAAATAAGATGGTCTGGTACTTCCATCTCTTTAAGAACTTGCCACAGTTGGTTGTGATCCACACAATCAAAGGCTTTAGCATAGTCAATGAAGCAGAAGTAGATGTTTTTCTGGAACTCCCTAGCTTTCTCCATGATCCAGCGTATGTTGGCAATTTGATCTCCAGTTCCTCTCCCTCTTCAAAATCCTGCCTGTACTTCTGGTAGTTCTCGGTCCACATACTGCTGGAGCCTAGCTTGTAGGATTTTGAGCATAACTTTGCTAGCATGTGAAATGAGTGCAATGGTGCGGTAGTTTGAACATTCTTTGGCATTGCCCTTCTTTGGGATCAGAATGTAAACTGACCTTTTCCAATCCTGTGGCCACAGTTGAATTTTCCAAATTGGCTGGCATATTGAGTGTAGCACTTTTACTGCATCGTCTTTTAGGATTTTGAATAGCTCAGCTGGAATACTGTCTCCTCCACTAGCTTTGTTGTTGCTCAGACTTCCTAAGGCTCATTTGACTTCACATTCCAGGATGTCTGGCTTGAGGTCAGTGACCATCCCATGGTGGTTATCAGGGATGTTAAGCTCTTTCTTGTATAGTTCCTCTGTGTAATCTTGCCACCTCTTCTTAATCTCTTCTGCCTCTGTTAGGTCCCTGCCATTTTGGTCCTTTATCATGCCCATATTTGCATGAAATGTTCCCTTCATATCTCCAATTTTCTTGAAGAGATCTCTGGCTCTCCCTATTCTATTGTTTTCTATTTCTTTGCACTGTTCATTTAAGAAGGCCTTCTTATCTCTTCTAGCTATTCTCTGGAATGCTGCATTCAGTTGGGTGTATCTTTCTCTTTCTCCCTTGCCTTCCGCTTCCCTTCTTTCCTCAGCTATTTGTAAAGCTTCCTCAGACAGCCATTTTGCTTTCTTGCATTTCTTTTTCTTTGGGATGGTTTTAGTTGCTGCCTCTTGTACAATGTTGCGAACCTCCGTCCATAGTTCTTTAGGCACTCTGTCTATCAGATCTAATTCCTTAAATCTATTTGTCACCTCTACTGTATATTCATCAGGGATATGATTTAGGTCATACCTGAGTGGCCTAGTGCTTTTCCCTACTTTCTTCAACTTAAGCCTAAATTTTGCAACCAGAAGCTCATGGTCTGAGCCACAGTCAGCTCCTGGTCTAGTTTTTACTGACTGTATAGAGCTTCTCTATCTTTGGCTGCAGAGCACATAGTCAATCTGATTTCTGTGTTGACCGTCTGGTGATGTCCATGTGTACCGTCGTCTCTTGGGTTGTTGGAAAAGAGTGTTTGCTATGACCATCGTATTCTTTTGACAAAATTCTACCAGCCTTTGCCCTGCTTCATTTTGTACTCCAAGGCCAAACTTGCCTGATACTCCAGTTATCTTTTGGCTTCCTACTTTAGCATTCCAATCCCCCATGATGATAAGGACATCATTTTTTGGAGTTAATTCTAGAAGGTGTTGTAGGCCTTCATAGAACTGGTCAACTTCAGCCTCTTCAGCACCAGTGGTTGGGGCGTAGACTTGGACTATTGTGATGTTGAATGGTTTTCCTTGAATTCGAACTGAGATCATTCTGTCATTTTAGAGATTGTATCCCAGTATTGCTTTTCCTACTCTTTTATTGACGATGAAGGCTACTCCATTTCTTCTGAGGGATTCTTGCCTGCAGGAGTACACCTGATGGTCATCTGGATTAAATTCACCCATTCCTGTCCATTTTAGTTCACTGATTCCTAAGATGTCGATGTTCAGTCTTGTCATCTCTTGTTTGACCACATCCAGCTTGCCTTGATTCATGGATCTTATGTTCCAGGTTCCTCTGGAGTATAGATCTTTGCAGCATCGGACTCTCCTTTCACCACCAGATACATCCGCAACTGAGTGTCCTTTCGGCTTTGACCCAGTCGCTTCACTCTTTCTGGCGCTACTAGTACCAGCCTCTGCTCTTCCCCAGTAGCATACCGGACACCTTCCAACCTGAGGGGCTCATCTTCCAGTGTCATATCTTTTTGCCTTTTGGTACTGTCCATGGGGTTTACATGGCAAAGATACTGGAGTGGGCTGCCATTTCCTTCTCCAGTGGATCAGCTTTTGTCAGAGCTCTCTGCTATGACCTGTCCATCTTGGGTGGCCCTGCACGGCATAGCTCATAGCTTCATTGAGCTGCGCAAGCCCCTTCGCCACGACAAGGCAGTGATCCATGAAGGAGATTTCCAACATACCTTCCTGCAATGGGGTACTAACTTCCATCATCCCTGACAATTCGCCATATTGGCTGGGGCTAATGGGAACTGTTATTTGAAACATCTGGAGGATGCCATGCCGGTTAAGACAGTGCTAATGTGTTTGTAATGCTTTTATTAATTGTACCTCTTTAGTACCTTCTCATGCATGGAGGCTAGCATTCTAGGCGGTGTGGCTCCCATCCAAGCTGGGAGTGATTCTTTTCAGCCAGTTGATATGTTTATGCTACTCTTCTGGAGGAAAAATAGGACATCAGGCACCGGCCGCAGGAAAGGTGTCTCTGTTAATTGCCTGAGCACCTGGGGTTTTATATGGACCAGTAGCAGCTGCAGGGCTTCAGAGAAAAGCTTTTCCTAGCACTACCTGAGGATGCCAGGCATGGAACTGGTAATCTCCAGCATGTGGAGCATGCTCTGCTGCTGAACCATATGTGCTGTTTCTTGTGCTTTCTCGACTGCAGTAGAAGGAAACGGCAGTAATGCATCACCAATGCATCACTGGCCTCTTCACCAGTTCAAGGACGCATCTTCTTAAAATTATTACAGCTAATGTTGCCCCAAACATGCATGACACTTTGCTTGTTTTGTAAAATTACACATAGTGCACTCGGCTTAGCTTGTAATCTTATGTATGCTTTATTTGGGAATAAACCAGTGGAATCTCACATGACATGTAAGTACGGATTAAGCCGTAAATCCTGGGGGGTGCCCATTGCATGGAAGGCTACAACACTTAAATGATTAGTGTTGAATTGGCAAGAATCCCTGTCTAATTGGGTAGCAGAGAACAGCATCCAACAGCATCCACTCAAGAGTGGGAGGTGGTCCCTTCACACTTCTCTGCAAAAGGCAAAGATGGCTGATTTCAGCTGCTCATAAGGAGGGAGGCTGAGGCACTGCTGGGATTCCTGGTATCCTGGTGGAACCTCGCTGTTCAATGCCTCTCCAATTCCAACTCCAAAGTCGTATTTGCATTCACAACTTTGGAGCTTCAGCCAGTGCAGAAAGAACCACAGGGCTCAGGTCAGAGGAAGGGCTCTGTGGACAGAATGACTCCAGAATGCAGCCATGCAGCCCCAGGCCACTGATGATCCTATGGCAGTTTAGACAGTGTGTATGAACCATAGGGTTCTACATGTGCGGTTTGTTTGTTTGTTTGGTCACAAAGTTGTGTCCAACAACCCATCACAACCCCATGAACAACATTCCTCCAGGCCTTCCTGTCCTCCATCATCCCCTGGAGTCCACCCAAGCCCACACCCACTGCCCAGTGACCCCATCCAGCCAACTCATCCTCTGCCGTCCCCTTCT